TGTAGACCAGAGCCCACCCGTAGACCACAGCAGACCAAACTCCCTAGTCTGGCACTGTAGACCAGAGCCCACCTGTAGACACAGCAGACCAAACTCCTAGTCTGGCACTGTAGACCAGAGCCCACCTGTAGACCACAGCAGACCAAACTCCATAGTCTGGCACTGTAGACCAGAGCCCACCTGTAGACCACAGCAGACCAAACTCCATAGTCTGGCACTGTAGACCAGAGCCCACCGTAGACCACAGCAGACCAAATAGTCTGGCCACTGTAGACCAGAGGCCCACCTGTAGACCACCACAGACCAAAACTCCATAGTCTGGCACTGTAGACCAGAGCCCACCTGTAGACCACAGCAGACCAAACTCCATAGTCTGGCACTGTAGACCAGAGCCCACCTGTAGACCACAGCAGACCAAACTCCTAGTCTGGCACTGTAGACCAGAGCCCACCTAGACCACCCAGACCAAACTCCATAGTCTGGCACTGTAGACCAGAGCCCCCTGTAGACCACAGCAGACCAAACTCCATAGTCTGGCACTGTAGACCAGAGCCCACCTGTAGACCACCACAGACCAAACTCCATAGTCTGGCACTGTAGACCAGAGCCCATACCAAACTCCTAGTCTGGCACTGTAGACCAGCCCACCTGTAGACCACCACAGACCAAACTCTCTGGTCTGGCACTGTAGACCAGAGCCCACCTGTAGACCACCACAGACCAAACTCCCTAGTCTGGCAACTGTAGACCAGAGCCCACCCGTAGACCACACAGACCAAACTCCCTAGTCTGGCACTGTAGACAGAGCCCACCTGTAGACCACACAGACCAAACTCCTAGTCTGGCACTGTAGACCAGAGCCCACCCGTAGACCACCACAGACCAAACTCCTAGTCTGGCACTGTAGACCAGAGCCCACCTGTAGACCACAGCAGACCAAACTCCCTAGTCTGGCACTGTAGACCGAAGCCCACTGTAGACCACACAGACCAAACTCCACAGTCTGGCACTGTAGACCAGAGCCCACCCGTAGACCACCACAGACCAAACTCCATAGTCTGGCACTGTAGACCAGAGCCCACCTGTAGACCACCACAGACCAAACTCCATAGTCTGGCACTGTAGCAGAGCCCACCGTAGACACCACAGACCAAACTCCACAGTCTGGCACTGTAGACCAGAGCCCACCCGTAGACCACCACAGACCAACTCCACAGTCTGGCACTGTAGACCAGAGCCCACCCGTAGAGCCCAGTCTGGCACTGTGTGAACAGAGCCCACCCGTAGACCACAGCAGACCAAACTCCCACTGGCACTGTAGACCAGAGCCCACCCGTAGACCACCACAGACCAAACTCCATAGTCTGGCACTGTAGACCAGAGCCCACCCGTAGACCACCACAGACCAAACTCCATAGTCTGGCACTGTAGACCAGAGCCCACCTGTAGACCACAGCAGACCAAACTCCATAGTCTGGCACTGTAGACCGAAGCCCACCCGTAGACCGAAGCCCGAACGTCGAGGAGGCCGCCGCTTCACGTCCGACATTCCTGCTCGGTTCGACAGCGCATTATCGGAACGAGACGGGAGGTTTCGTGAGAAATTCTCGTAATAGACGTTAAGCTTACAGGTGCATTATTGAACGCTTCCCGGCCGCGTGTTAAGTGGTTGGACGTTAGGCCTACGGGGGTCTTGGGAGACACACACACACGCACACACACACACACAACACGCACACACACACACACACACACACACACACACACACACGCATATACACACACATTTTTTTTATTTATTTTTTATTTTTTTTTTTCCCCACACATATGCGTAAATGTACACACACACACACACACACACACACACACATACACACACACACATATATATTTTTTTTTTTTTTTTTTTTTAAGCTACCTACCACGCCAAAGAACACGAGTCCGCTGTATATATTCTAAATGAAAATGCTTCTATGAATTATAACTAATGTACGTGTGAGTCATATATTGACAGCACTGGCATACGAGTTCTATTGAAACTGGCACAGAAAAAAATGCTTTTTGAATACCTCTATTCATAAAATATGTCATTTGATTTTTAGTTTTAACTTTATACTATGATGATGATATTGGTGATGAAACGCACAAAATATAAAAGTAATGATTGGTAATATCAATAATATCGATTGTGATGGTAAGGATGATAAGAAGAGGAATGTGCACAATAACAGCTAATGGATATGATAATGGTAATGTCAATGATAATGATGAAACTGATGATAAGGGTGGTAATGATAATAATGATGATAACAGCTATGATGATAACATTTGTACTGATAGTGGAGATAATGATGGTTGATTTTGATGGTAATTAGGGTCATCACCATCATCACTATCATTGCTTTGGATGCAGTGATAAAATGGATTCGGTTTCGGACCATAAGGCCGAGTTTTGCATGTACATATACATGTACATCTGGCAACTCCTGAACAATGCCGTGGCAGTTGCCAATTAGTGTGATTTGGGTTATCATTCTTCCACTCGAAACCGAAGATGAGATCGTATTGTCAATGAAGAAAGCACAACATGGATAGAATGCTACAGGATCGGCAACAAATGCAACGCACGTCCCACTCAAGCATAGATGAATAATCTGATATATATATATATATATATATATATATATATATATATATAATATATATATATATATATATATATATTATAATATATATATATATGTACACACACACACACACACACACACACACACACACACACACACAACACACACACACACACACACACACACACACACACACACACACACACAACACACACACACACACACACACACACACACACACACACATATATATATATATATATATATATATATATATATATATATATATATATATATATATATATATATATATATATATATACATATATTATATATATATATATATATAATATATATATATATATATATATATATATATATATATATTATACTTATATCTATCTATCTATCTATCAACAAATATTAATTTGTGTTTGTGTGTGAGCATGTCGACTTAGTTAATCTTAAAATGGGTAACATAACTTACCAGTCTTTTAAGGCTCATTGGATGAATTGAACTCATTCCTCTGCTGTGTGCGTACCAAAGCTGCAATAGTCACAGACACATTCTTAATCAATGACTTTAATTTAATTGACTTTATTCCCTAATTCTATCAGGGAATAACAATGAGCAAGGAGTATATCGTAATGTAAACTTTAACAATAACTGTTATAAGGAAGAAAATACTCTCTGCTAATTAATTCATGTCTAAGGTTAACTTTAGACTTACACTCTCCCCTTTGCCTACTAATTATAGATCCTTAATCATTACTATGAATATTTTTTCCGTTTTTAACATTAGGCAATCGACCTCCCTATTCTTTCCTATATTTTCCTTTTTACTCTTTATTCTGATATATAATTCCATTCTCAATCTATTCCTTGGTACCATTGGAACTGTCCCCTTCGAGTAATTCCGTTGCATTATCCACAGGCAAAAATACGAGAAAGATAAGGAAAATCTGGACATTGGGGCTGGTGAATCATGGTGTGTTGTTTTATACCACGAATTTTGCCCATTTTTCTCTCTGGGTGCAGGAGGAGAGTAAAGATGCTGGCTTAGTTATCACAATTTAGTACACATTCAACAATTAAATGGATTCACTTATAAAGTATTGCAGTCTTCACATTCCGGGCAAAACACGAATTTTAATACCAATGATTATCTATAAATATAGATAATCATCATGTTATTCTGTCAATCATAACATTAAATTTTGCTATATTGGCATGACTTTAAAAAGGTATAAAATACGTAAAGGAACATCATTTAATAATTATAAATAATGCCTCTTTCAAATGTCAACTCAAAATGGACCTCGACATATACATACATACATATATACACAAACACACACACACGCACATATATGAAGAGAGAGGGATAAAAAGATAGGTAGATATAAAGGTAGATAGATAAATATTTGTGTGTGTGCGTTGCATTCGTTGCAGATCATGTAGCATTCTAACCATAATGTGCAGTCATGATTGGTAATTTGAGACCTCACGTGGAGAAACTGCATTGAAGAGTATATGAATTAATATATCATTACATACTTACATATATGTGCAGCCACACGCAACACACATATACATATATACTATATAAACTGTACACTAACGAAAATCCAAATGATTGTGCAGATTTCATTCTAGATTTTTTCTGATGCTGAGCTTGATGATTGAAGCAATAAAGTATATCAATTATTTACCCGTTTGCCTGTTGAAAAGAAACGTGCTGTAGACATGTTTTAATGCATACGTAGAGGGCTAAGTATACCAAGTCGATTATCCTTTCCAGATAAAAGCGTCCAGAGCAGGAAAGCCTCTGCCGGCGCCATGCAGCAGAACCTCACTCGCCACCTCTGCGAGAACCGCTCTCTGTGGAAGAATGAGTGCCAGACGCTCGCCCAACTCTGTGGCTTCGGTGCCTCGGTGCATGATGACAAGCTCGCCGACGTCTGTGCCGACGACGAGCTCATGGAGGACGAGGGGAACAACACGCTGCTGCAGATCTGCGAGAGAGACATCCACAGCCTCCGGGCGTCGCTGTATCCGACGATCATCCCGGTGAGGACCTCTCGGGATTGTGCATCGCTCTGAGGTGTATGTGCGTGGATATACTTATGCATATTATCACACACACGCATACGGACACGAACACAAACACATAGACACACGAACACAAAGACATAGACACACGAACACAAACACATAGACACACGAACACAAAGACACATCACACACAAACACATAGCACACACGAACACAAACACATAGACATATTCACACACACACTCACACACACGCACACACACACACACACACACACACACACACATATACATATATATATATACACATATATAGAC